TCAGCTTGCACAGCTGCCGCCACCGCCTGAAAGTCCTCGCCAGCCTCCGGCGCCAGCGAGACTGTCGGCTCCACCACGCCGACCATCGAGCACGACGCCTCCCCGTCGCCTCGGTCCTTGCCGCTGGAGCTGTCGACCTCCTTCGTCGACGACGTCTTCTTCGACGCCTTCTTCTCCTTGCGCGGCTTCTCATCTCGACGTGGGCGACGGCTGGCCGATCGACCGCGGCCTCCCTTGCTGTCGTCCTCGTCGCTGTCATCGCGGTCGGGGCATTCGAAGGAGAGATGGTCGGGATCGCCACAGATCCAGCACTCCCGCCGTCGACCACCACCTCCACGACCCTTGCCCCGCGTAGACTTCTTCTCGTCGACGTCCTTCGTCGACCGCCCACCTCCGCTACCACCTCCGCTCGGCTTCCCGCGCTGCCCTTGCTGCTGATTCAGCTTCGTCGGTGCAGCGTAGTTTGCCTGCGGAAGGAGCTCCGTGGGCTGTTCGGCCTCCTGCATCGCCTCGTCTTGAAGGATGTAGCTGGTGATGGAGTCCTCGTCGAGGGACTCACGCGTGCCGGGCACCATCATCATCCTCTTCATGAGGTTGTAGCCGCGCGGCAGGCCCTTGACGAGGTGAGTGATGTAGGACGCCGTCGAGTACTCGGCGCCCGCCATCCGCATCTCCGCCAGGATCCGTCGAGCACGGTTGCAGTAGTCCGTCGCCGACTCCTGCTCGCCCATCCGAATGTGAGTCATCTTCTCCTCCAGCTGGCCGATGTACAGGTCGTCCTTAACCTGGTACGTCGACAGGATGAAGCGCCATGCCTGGTGACCAGCATCAAGTCGCTCTCGACAGCTCCTGAGCGCTAGCTGCACCACCGGCGAGCAGCACCTCGAGATGACCATGAACGTGAGCAGGTGAGCAGCGCGGAACTCCCCGCGCAGCTCGACATCCTCCTCGGGCGGAATGGGCACGGTGCCTTCGGCGAAGCCCTTTAGCCCGGCGACCTCCAGCTGAGGTTCGATCGACTCCCTCCAGGTGATGAGGTCCCGTCGACCTTGCAGCGGGGCGACGGTGATTCGGTCCGGCGAGAATTTGAAGTAGCCATACGCCGGCGCAATCCCGCCCGCAGTCACATGCGTCGTCGCCGAGAAGCCTCTATCACTGCGTAGAGGAGAGCGACGTCGACCATCCACATCGACACGCGAGCTGCCTGCAGCCGCCGTCGACCGCTGCACTCGCGCCTGAATCCCGTCGACGCCACCGTCGACCTTGATCACACCTCTCTGCCTCGTGCCTTCGCTGCCGCTGACTCGAGCACCTCCGTCGACCTCGACGTCGACGCCACCTTCGTTTCGTGCCGGTCGAGGAGATGCAGGACGGGAAGGGTGTTCCGTCGCCCACTGCGCCCGGATGCCCAACTCGACGATCGTCAAGGGGATCGTCCCATACTCGCCATCCGCATGACGTCTCCTCCCATCAGCTAAGCGTGTCTCCAAGGTGTCCGCTACACCCGCTTCTACAGCGAGGTCGACCATGGCGACTAACGCTGCTGCCGGCCTACGAACGACTTAGTAGGTGCAAAAGTCGGCTCCTATCTGAAGGTAATTTGCGGGGCCGTCCACGCTCACCGCACCATGCGGAGATTCACTCTACAACGGTAGTGAGCTAGACTACGGGGGTTGGCACGAACTACTAGGAGTGATCGTAGCTTTGCTTGGTTCCTTAGTGCTTGCACATTCACGGGAGAAATTGGCAAGAGTTTCCACTAGCAAAGTTGGAATTACAGAATGATAGATTCAAGCAATGACAGAATGACTACATCAGGCACCTAGCAACCCTGCAGCCAGCCTGGTCGACTGCCAGCACAGCTCGGTCGACCGCGCGCCAGCGTTGCGTAGAGGAGCCGCGCCAGCACTGCAGAAGAGCGACCTGCCAACGCTGCAGGTCGACGGCGTGCCAACGCTGCAGCAATGCGGCGGTCCAGCGTTGCCCCGTAGAAGACAGCAGTGCGTACGCGCACAGATGCGCGCAGACGATTGGCCCGACTTGCCTTGTTGGGCATCCGTCGGCTGTTGTCTGCGCCTGACGAGCCACATCGACTTCGGGATACCAGCCCGCAGTCGCCTTCGCCATCGCGATCTCGACGACGTTCGCGTGCCTCCGCAGAACTCGTCGAGCAGGTTACCCGGTCGACCTGGACACCACCAGGTGCTCCCCGTCGACCACCAGGTGCCTCCGGTCGACCACCAGGCCCTTCTGGTCGACCACAGTTCCCGTCGAGCTACCCCCTGGTCGACGGACCCCTTCCGTCGACCAGAACTGCTTCATCGACCTCCCGGTCGAGCTGCAGGTCGACGGGATGCTTCGCGGACCTCCCGGTCGAGCTGCAGGTCGACGGGACGCCCCCCAGTCCTCCCGGTCGAGCTGCAGTTCGACGGGAAGCTCCCGAGACCTCCCCGTCGAGCTGTAGTTCGACGGGATGCTCCAGAGACCTCCCCGTCGAGCTGTAGGTCGACGGACTGCTCCGTCGACCTCCCGGACGGCCCACCCATCGCCCAGGCCAGTCAGTTGCGCCCGTCGAGCACCCCTGGTCGACGGAAGCTCCACAGTGACATCCTGCAGCTCGACGAAGCCCGTCGAGCAGCTCCTTCACTGTGAACGGTCGGCTGCTTCACCCGTACATCCGACCAAGTCGTCGGCGTTGCCCAAGCGAGGGCGGGGCCAACACTCCATTCCCGTCAACAGTGCCGGCCCGTCCGAGCACACGTACAGTGAGTCACTCGCTGACTCGCAGGAGTGAACTGGTCAACCCCCCGATCCTGGAGGTCAGCTCCACTCACCAAGTTCGTAGAGAACGAGGGGAGGTAAAGACCTGACAGCGAGCCGGACGGGGCGGCCGGACATGGCAGAACCGTGGAGTAGTGGGCAAGGATGGGACCCTCGGAGGGGTCCGCCAGGGAGACTGGAACTGGCCGACTAAGCGGCGTGAGTGTGGTGCAGTCGCGAAAGAAGGAGCGGGAAGCTCCTGAGTCAAGGGTGAAGGTGTGCGAGACCGCTGCGGGCGCAGTACCAGAGAGAGCAGACTCACCAGCACCTGGAGCAGGAGACGTACTAGCACCGAGAGCAGCAGCCTCACCAGCACCTAGAGCAGGAGACGCACTAGCACCTAGAGCAGCAACCTCACCAGCACCGAGAGCAGCAGGCTCTATACCAGGGTCAGGCGGTACGCACAGGTAACAGGCACGGTCAGCACTAGTAGGCAATGCATACATGGCAGTGAGAATAGCATCATAGTCAAGCGCAAAGATATCTACCCTCTGTCCATGCAGCTCCAGCCAGGTAGGGAGCTCAGCCTCGTCGCCAAACACTGTACGCCAGGCGTCGCTCAGGCGGGCGAAGCAGCGGGACTGTGTGTGACCAAGCGTCCCACAAGGCTGACCAGTCCTAGCACCTGTGCGAATGACGTACGGGCAGCGAACTGTACGCGTAGACCTGCTACACTGAGCGTACCACTCATGGAGCTGCTGGAGCGTAAGTGTCTCGCGTGGCCGCCGGTGCAGCTGCAGCTGGCCACTGCCAGACGCCCCCAACTGACCAGCTCCAGGGCGACAGCTACGACGGCTACCGCGACAACCCCAAGTAGCGTACCACTCACTAAGCTGTTGGGGCGTGAGAGACTCGCGTGAACGTCGCTGGAGCTGCATCTGGCCACCTCCTAGTAGCAGTAGTAGCCGCAGCAGCTCGGGTAGGCAGGCAGGCCGGCAGGCAGGCAGGCAGACAGGCCGGCAGGCAGGCAGGCAGGCAGGCAGACAGGCAGGCAGACAGGCAGGCAGACAGGCAGGCCGGCAGGCAGGCAGGCAGGCAGGCAGACAGGCAGGCCGGCAGGCAGGCAGGCAGGCAGGCAGGCAGGCCAACAGGCAGGCAGGCAGGCAGGCAGGCAGGCAGGCAGACAGGCAGGCCGGCAGGCAGGCAGGCAGGCGCTCACCAAAGGCTGGGAGAGCAGGCGCTCACCGGGCGAGCAGGGCCGGCGCTCGACGGGCGGCGACCGAGTAGGCGCACGACAGCGGCGACGTCGGGGCCGCAACACCGGCTGCAGAGCAGGGCCGAAGCAGCTGCAGGGCGGGGCCGCTTCAGCGGCAGTTGCAGGGTGGGGCCGCGTCAGCGGCAGGTCGGGGCCGTGGCAGCTGCAGGGCGGGGCCGCATCAGCGGCAGGTCGGGGCCGTGGCAGCTGCAGGGCGGGGCCGCATCAGCGGCAGGTCGGGGCCGAGGCAGAGGGCCGCGCGCGGCTCGGCGCGGGCTGCGCTGACAGCACGCTGAGCTGCTGCAGGCCGCGCGCGGCCGCGCTAGGCAGTAGCGGGCCGCGCGCGGCTCGGCGCGGGCTGCTGCGGGCCGCGCGCGGGCCGCGCGAGGCAGTAGCAGGCCGCGCGCGGCTCGGCGCGGGCTGCTGCGGGCCGCACGCGGACCTCGCGAGGCCGTAGCAGGCCGCGCGCGGCTCGACGCGGGCTGCGTGGGCTCGGCGCGGGCTGCGCGCGGCTCGGTGCGGGCTGCGCGCGGTTGCAGCGGGCTGCGCGCGGCTCGGTGCGGGCTGCGCGCGGCTGCAGCGGGCTGCGCGCGGCTCGGCGCGGGCTGCGTGGGCTCGGTGCGGGCTGCGCGCGGCTCGGTGCGGGCTGTACGGGCTCGGTGCGGGCAGCGCGCGGCAGCAGCGGGCTGCACACGGCTCGGTGCGGCAGCGCGCAGCAGCAGGGGGCCTGACGGGCCTGTAGGGGCTGTTCGCGGGCCTGACGGGCCTGCAGGGGCGGCGCGCGGGCCTTACGGGCCTGCAGGGGCAGCGCGCTGGCCTAGGGCAGCAGGAGGCAGCACTAGGGCTGCAGGACGGCGCACGTAGTGCAGCACGTCACAAGGCAAGGCAAGGCAAGGCAGGCAGGTACGTGGGGTAGCGTGGTAACCGCAGCGGTAGGTGGGCCCGAAAAAAAAAACGGTCCTACGGACCTTAGTGCTCTGAAACCATGTCAGAATCTAGCAGCAGGAATGGTTGAACTAGCAGGATGCAGGAGTACAAGTAGTAAACCCTAATTGGGTTGTACCCCATATGGGCTACCCCACTATAGCCTAGACAATATGCAGCACATATAGTTTGACACGCGCGCGTGTGTGCGTGCGTGTGTGTAGTTGGGGGGGGGGGGGGGGGGGGTGGGTGGGGAGGGGGGAAGGCGGCAGGCGTTAAGAAGAGGAGTGCGTGTGTGTATGTGGATGTGACAATGTCTGTGTGTGTGTGTGTGTCTGTGTGTGTGTGTGTGTGTGTGTGTGTGTGTGTGTGTGTGTGTGTGTGTATATGTGTGTGTGTGTGTGTATATGTGTGTGTGTGTGTGTGTGTATGTGTGTGTGTGTGTGTGTGTGTGTGTGTGTGTGTGTGTGTGTGCGCGTGCGCGCGCGTATGTGTGTGTGTGTGTGTGTGTGTGTATGTGTGTGTGTGTGTGTGTGTGTGTGTGTGTGTGTGTGCGCGCGCGAGCATGCGTGCGTGCATGCGTGTGTCAAGATAGCAAGCAGGAATGAATGAACTAGCAGCAGGATGGGTACAAGTATGAAACCCTAATTTGGGTTGTACCCCATATGGGCTACCCCACTACAGCCTACACAATAAGCAGCATATATGTTTGACACACCCCCATAGGCAAAGTGGGGGAGAACAAGAGGTCACAAGACCAGTCAAGAAAGGCAAAGCAAGCTCAGGGTGGATCACAACGTCACCACACACACTAAGCACAAGCAAAGGGCCACAAGGCCAGTTCACATGCAGAGATATATATGCAGCAACAATAGCACAGTGATCATTACCTAGCAAGAGCAAGCATGCAGGTATATATATATAGATCACAGTACAAGCAAAGTCTACAGCAAGTGCGGAAACGTAGGCACAAGGCCTAACAAAGTACAAAAGCGCTGATGATCACCAGACGGAAGTGCCTTGGTGAATATATCAGCAGTGTTGGCCCAAGTGGCCACGTGAGCAAGACGAAGCTGGCCTCGCTGCTGCAACTCTCGAGCCAGGAAGTAACGCAGAGCGATGTGCTTCGTTCTGTGCTCCAGTCTGTGCTCCTCACACAAGGCAATGGCGGCCTTGTTGTCAACGTACAGCACTGGAGGAGAACGAGGTCGCTCTCCCAAGTCGGTCAGCAGGTAGGTGAGCCAGCGTAACTCCTATGCAGCCATGGCTGTGGCGTAGATCTCAGCCTCACAACTGGAGCTGAGAACTGAAGACGAGCGGGTAGAACGCCAAGAAACAGAACCGGAGCCAAGGCTGAACGTGTAACCCTGTGACGACCGCTGTGTAGCCAGGTCGTCAACCCAAGAAGCGTCTGAGTGCCCAGTGAGGACAACTGGACTCCGCCCTCCAAGCACGAGCCCCATGCCCGATGTGCTGCACAAGTAGCGCAGTACCCTCTTAGCAGCATCCATGTGCACCTTTCGGTGCCGACCAGGAGCCACGTAGCGAGCCAAAAGGCCAAGAGGGTACGCAAGGTCAGGACGAGTGCAGGTCATCAGGTACATGAGGCAGCCCACTAGCTCTGGGTAAGGACCACTCGGCTCTACGGACTTGTCCGAAGGTGGAGCTGAGAGCGAGTGACCTGTAGCCAGAGGAGTGGACTGTGCCGAGGACCAGGTGAAGTTGAAGCGCTGAAGGACCTGCTGCACCATGTGTGACTGAGTCAGTGTGATGGTGCGGCGTGCTCTGTCCTAGGTAATCTGCAAGCCAAGGTAACTGCGCAGCTCACCCAGGTCTGTGCACGTGTGTCTCTTCTGCAGCTCCGACTTCACCAGGGCAAGAGCCTCAGTGTCAGCAGTGGCAAAGACCAAGTCGTCGATGTACACGAGGATGTAGAACGGCGGCAGCGAAGTGTCGGTGCGCAGAAACAGCGACGGGTCAACAGTCGAAGGAGCAAACCCAAGAGCCGCAAGTGTCATCCTCAGTGTGTCGTGCCACTCACGGGGCGCCTGGCGGAGACCGTAGACTGGCCGCCGGAGGCTCCACTGGGTACTAGGAGGGAACGACCCAGTGAAGCCAGGTGGGCGGCGCAGCCATATCTCCTCGTGCAGGCTGCCCTGTAAGAAGGCTGTGCTGAAGTCAAGAGAGTGAAGCTCGTAGTCACGCTGAGCGGCAACGTGCAGCAGCACCCGAAGAGTGGTCATCTTCGGGGTGGGGGAGAAGGTCTGGAAGAAGTCAACTCCCTCCCGCTGACTGAAGCCTCGAGCAACGTAACGAGCCTTGAAGACAGGCGGAGAACCCGGCGGCCGCTTCACCCTGAAAATCCACATGTCATCGACGATGTTCGCCCCGGGAGGGGGAACCTCATCGACGTAAGTGCCTGTGGACTTCCAGGATGCCATCTCTGCGTCCATGGCTGCCTGCCACTGAGAGGAGTAGGGACCCGTAATCGCCTCAGCGTAAGAGCGCGGGGTCGGGATGTCTGGTGCATCCGGGTCTCCCTCAGGGGCAAGCAGCATGGCCACGAGATGAGGCGCAGCGGCTGCAAGACACTCAAGGTCCTCCTGCCTGTCCTCAAGGACGTCCGTGCCAAGAGCACACTCACCCTCGACGGACGGAGGACAGACAGACTCAGACTCAGCAACAAGACTAGCAGCGTAGTCTAGACGACAGGCAGCAGCAAAGTCAACAAGCTCAGCGACTAAAGCAGACGCAGCAGTGGACTCAAACGAAGGGTCAGTGACAACAGTGGCAAGCAGACGCGTGACAGTAGGGTGAGCAGCACGAGCGCGGTCAGACTCAGGGTCTGGAACGTCAGGCAGAGAAGACGCAGGAGGGGACGGCAGAGGGACACGCTGTGGAGCAGAGGAAGGACGAAGGGCCATGAGGTGCGTGCCGGGGACAGCCGGCGAACGCGGACGAGGAACACGACGACCAGTACGACCAGTGCGAACAGGCGAGACAGGACGAGACGCAGGCTCACGACGCTCAGCAAGACCTCCTGTCTGCTCAGTGTAAGGAGAAGGAGCTGGCAGTGGTGAGCCAGGCTATAACGGAAGACCAGTAGAAGACGGGAGGCTAAGAACCTGGCGAAGCACAGAGTCAGGTGGTGGCTGAGACGACGGAGACGGTGGAGCAAAGAACAGGCGCGGCTGTGCAGTGCCACCAGCACCAGTAGCTCCAGCACCTCCAGCAGCGCCAGAACCTCCAGCTCCAGCGCCTCCAGCAGCTCCAGAACCGCCAGCTCCAGCGCCTCCAGCAGCTCCAGAACCTCCAGCTCCAGCGCCTCCAGCAGCTCCAGAGCCTCCAGCTCCAGTGCCTCCAGTAGCTCCAGAACCTCCAGCTCCAGCGCCTCGAGCAACTCCAGAACCGCCAGCTCCAGCGCCTCCAGCAGCTGCAGAACCTCCAGCTCGAGCGTCGCCAGCTGCGCCATAACCTCGAGCTCCAGGGTCTCCCGCCTCAGTACCTCCAGTCGCAGCACCCCCAGAACCGGCACCTCCAGCTCCAGGGCCTCAGTACCTCCAGCAGCAGCGCCTCCAAAACCGGCACCTCCAGCTCCAGGGTCTCCAACTCCAAAGGCGACAGTACCAGCTCCTGGGCGTCCAGCCCCAGTACCCCAAGTCGCAGCACCTCGACGACGGTAGCGCTGAGCGCACCACTCGCGTAGCTACTGTCGCGAGAGAGGCGGTCGTTGCGATGCAGCACCAGGAGGACCGCCAGGAGACTCAGCACCCCCAGAACTAGCACCTCCAGCTCCAGCAGAAACGCCAGTCCTGGCAGCTCCAGTACCCCCGGTACGAGCACGTCCAGAACCAGAAACACCAGTGCTCCCAGCGTCTCCACGACCAGTCGCTCCAGTAGCTCGAGCAGCAGAAAGAGGGAGACCCGGAGGAACACCAGCTGACTCAGCACCCCCGGACCCGGTACCCTCTGGCTCAGCACCCCCAGGCTCCGCACCCCCAGACGTAGGACCCCGAGCAGCACCGCCCCCAGCAGCACCAGAGGCAACCGGAACCGACCGCAGAGGCGACGAAGACGGTCGAGGTGGAATTCCCGGAGGGGTCTCCAAGCGTGGTGAGCGGCGGGGGGGCACAGCGGGGCCTCCAACTCCAGGGTCGACAGCGCTAGCTCCAGGGCCTCCAACCCCAGGACCTCCGGCAGCAGCACCCCCAGTAGCAGGGCCTCCAGCCCCAGCAGCACGAACCGTAGGAACTCCAGCTGACTCAGCACCCCCCGACCCGGCACCCTCCAGCTCAGCACCCTCAGGCTCCGCACTCGTAGGCTCAGCACCCCCAGGCTCCACACCTCCCAGCACCTCACGTATAGGCTCAGCAACCCCAGACGCAGCAACCCAAGTAGCACCACCCCCAGCAGCACCAGAGTCAACAGTAGTCGGCTGCAGAGGCGGCGAAGAAGGTCGCGGCGGGAAACCCGGAGGGGTCTCCAAGCGTGGTGTGCGGCGGTAGGCCTCTGGGGCGTCAGCAGCAACGTCACCCCCCTCAGCTGGGCCAGAGGTGTCGGAAGTGACCTCCAAAGGCTCAGCCAAGGGGAGTGGGTCTACCTGAGACACACCTGAAGGAGCAGGACCCTGAGGGGGGAGGGGGTCTACCGGAGGGGGACCTGGAGCGAGGAAAAGCGGCGGGGGAGGGAGAGGGGCAGTGCGGTAGGGAAAGAGACGGTAGAAAGGAACCGACTCGTCAAAGGTGACGTCCTGGGAGGGGAAGACGCGGCGCGAGGTGGGGTGGTAAAACTGCCAGCCAGACGCGTCAGGACAAAGCCAAGGAAGACACAGGGAATGGTGCGGGAGGAGAGCTTGTCCGCGGACGTATCGCGGACAAGGGCACGAGCACCCCAGACTCGGAAACGCGACGCATCGCCAACCTCTCCCGTCCAACGCAGTGTGGGCGAGGTGTCTGGCAAGGAGACACGGGGCCAGAGGTTGAGCTGATGCGCTGCGTACCGGACCGCAAACGGCCACAGAAAATGGGGAGCCGCCGCATGGATCAAGGAGGTACGAGCGATCTCCATGACCAAGCCAATGCGGCGCTCAGCAATCCCATTTTGCTGCGGTGAGCCCGGAAGCGTGAACGACTGCTCGATGCCCTCCCTCTGACAGAAGGCCCGCAAGAGGTCGGAGGTGAACTCACCACCTCTGTCAGAGTGCAGACGCAGGACAGGAAGGTACGTCCGGAACCTGCGGCGGAGCTGGAGACGAACTGCGCGGATCCAAGGGATCAAGACATCAGGGACCTCACCCTTGGTACGCAAGGGGAAGACCGTGGTGTAACGCGAGTAGTCGTCGACAACCAGCAGAAAGTACCGCTCACCGCCCTGTCCACGAACGCAGGCTGGGCCCCACACGTCCAGGTGGAGGGTCTGCAGGGGAGCCTCTGTCGGGGGAAACGAGGAGGAGTGAGGAGCGGCGCGCTGCCGCCCCTCGACGCAAGGAAGGCAAGGCGGCGCAGGCGAGGTAGGGAGGGGAGGGAGAGACCTGGGAAGACCAGACACAAGGAGGCGACGGTGCATGCCACGTAGACGTGGCAAGGAGGGGTGACCCAGACGATGGTGCCAGAGAAGAGTCTGGTGCGACAGGGAGCGACACTCACAAGGGGAGGCTACCAGACCTGACGCAGACACCTGACCGACAGCATTGACCTGAGGAGACACAGTCGTCAGTGTGTAGAGACTCGACCCTGGCCGACGGGTGAACGTGGCCAGGTGACGGCCAGTCTGTGCACACGTGCAGATCGCCACACGCTGCCATGCAGGGGTGAAGGTATTAACCCCCACATCCTGAAGGGCAGCGTTGCTCACCAAGTTCGTAGAGAACGAGGGGATGTGGAGACCTGACAGTGAGCCAGACGAAGCTGCCGGGCACGGAAGCACAGTGGTGGACCGTGCAAGGACTGGGCCCCCTGAGGGGTCAGCCAGAGACACTGCAATAGGTGTAGGGTTTAGTGGTGTGAGTGCAGTACTGTCACGAAAGAAACAGCAGGAAGCACCTGAGTCAAGCGTGAAGGTGTGCAAAACCTCAACAGGCGCAGTACCTGAGGCAGTAGACTCACTAGCACCAAAGGCAACAGCCTCACTAGCACCTAGAGCAGCAACCTCTATACCGGGGTCGTACTGCACACACAGGTAACATGCACTCTCAGCATCACCAGGCAAAGGAGACATGGCAGTAAGGATGGCGTCATAGTCTAAAGCAAAGACATCAACGCCCGACCTATGCAGCTCAAGCCAGTGGGGTGTCTCAGCCTCGTCGCCAAACTGTGCGTGCCAGGCGTCAGACAAATAGGCGAAGCAGCGGGACTGTGCGTGACCAGGTGTCCCACAGGTCTGACCAGCTCGACGACCTGTGCGAATGACGTACGAGCAGCGACCAGGACTCGGAGACGTTCCACGCTGGCAAAGCCACTCACGAAGCTGCCGGGACGTAAGGGTCGGACGCCGCTGTAGCTGCATCTGGCCACCGCCAGAACCTCCCCACTGAACAGCTCCACAGCGACTGCTACTACGGCCGCCACCACTCCCACTGCTGCCACTACCGCCGTCACCACTCCCACTGCTACGACGAAGTGAAGTCATAGCGGGTAAGCAACGAGGCGCGCGACTAGGAGGGCGGTACGGAGGGAAGACAGCAGCACGAGCAGCAGCAGCAGCAGCAGTAAGAAGAGCAGAGACGCCCGGTGAGGCTAGGCTGCAGCACCTCCAGCACTCCTAGTAGCACCTCCACCAGTAGCAGCAGTAGCACGAGTAGCAGGGCGGATCGGTTCGAGTAGGGCGGCTCGGCTCTGCCTGGGCTGCGCGGGCAGCAGGGCGCGCGCTGTGCAGGGCAGCAGGGCGCGACGCACGAGCTGCAGCAGGGCGCGACGCGCAGGGCAGATGTGCGCGACGCGCGGGGCAGCTGTGCGCGACGCGCGGGCTGCCGTAGGGCGCGACGCGCAGGGCAGCAGCGCGCGACGCGCGGGCTGCAGTAGGGCGCGACGCGCTGGGCAGCAGCGCGCGTCGTGCGGGCTGCCGTAGGGCGCGACGCGCAGGGCAGCAGCGCGCGACGCGCGGGCTGCCGTAGGGCGCGACGCGCTGGGCAGCAGCGTGCGTCGTGCGGGCTGCCGTAGGGCGCGACGCGCAGGGCAGCAGCGCGCGACGCGCGGGCTGCCGTAGGGCGCGACGCGCAGGGCAGCAGCGCGGGCGTAGGGCAGGGCGCTGGCGCAGGGCAGGGCGCTGGCGCAGGGCAGGGCGCTGGCGCAGGGCAGGGCGCTGGTGCAGGGCAGGGCGCTGGCGTAGGGCAGGGCGCTGGCGCAGGGCAGGGCGCGGGCGTAGGGCAGGGCGCTGGCGCAGGGCAGGGCGCTGGCGCAGGGCAGGGCGCTGGTGCACGACAGGGCGCTGGCGCAGGGCAGGGCGCTGGCGCAGGGCAGGGCGCTGGCGCAGGGTAGTGGGGTAACGCGGTAACCGCAGTCGGTCGCTAAGGATGGTGGGCTCAGAAAAAAAAAACGGTCCTATGGACCTACTGCTCCGATACCATGTCAAGATAGCAAGCAGGAATGAATGAACTAGCAGCAGGATGGGTACAAGTATGAAACCCTAATTTGGGTTGTACCCCATATAGGCTACCCCACTACAGCCTACACAATAAGCAGCATATATGTTTGACAGCGTGTGTGTGTGTGTGTGTGCGTGTGTGTGCGTGCGTGTGTGTGCGTGCGTGTGTGTGCGTGCGTGAGTGTGTGCGTGTATGTATGTGTGCGTGTGTGTGTGCGTGTGTACATAGGGCATGTTCCTACAGCCCCTTATCAGGGACACCTCATATCAGCTTTGTTGAGATAGCTAGGCAAGGTGAGGTTCACTATCGAGAGAAATGGTACAAATAACACAACCCTAAGGAGTTATCCCCTATAACATCTACCCCACTACAGCCTACCAATATATATCACACATATATATCATTTGACACACCCCCATAGGCAAAGTGGGGGAGAGCAACGGGTCACAAGACCAGTCAAGAGAAACAAAACAAGCTCAGGGTGGATCACAACGTCACCACACATTCTGAGCACAAGCAAATGGCCACAAGGCCAGTTCACATGCAGAGATATATATGCAGCAATGACAGTACAGTGTCGAGCTACCTAGCAAGAGCCAGCATGCAGGTATATATGTATATAGATCACAGTACAAGCAAAGACTACAGCAAGTGTGGAAGCGTAGGCACAAGGCCTAACAGAGTACAAAAGCGCTGATGATCACCAGACGGAAGTGCCTTGGTGAATATATCAGCAGTGTTGGCCCGAGTGGCCACGTAACGAAGACAAAGCTGGCCTCGCTGCTGCAACTCTCGAGCCAGGAAGTAACGCAGAGCAATGTGCTTCGTTCTGTGCTCCAGTCTGTGCTCCTCACACAAGGCAATGGCGGCCTTGTTGTCAACGTACAGCA